AATGCAGAGAATCATGCAAAGGGTTCTTTGAGTGTTCATGGGTCTATTTAGAGCCATTTTAGAGCCATTTTCTTTACTAAAGAACCACTGAAGAACCATCTTTTTTAAGTGTGTAGCTCTAACAGTCACAGTGCGCCACTGATGCATATTAGCAATACACAGCTAGATTTACAGTTGTTCTAATTGTCACTGAACATGTTAAGTCTTAGTAAAGGTGTTATTCAGTAATGTGAGGTTTATATTATATTGGGTTAAAGCAGGTTTTTAATGTTGGTGGCCTAACTGCTCCACATCTGATGTATTTATAATTATTATTGACTAATTATCTAAATGTCAACCTATTTGACAGCTAATACAATATTGAAATGTGTGTAAATTTGCTATGTAAATGGGGTATCTTTACCATGAAACTTTGGCAGTGACAAAAGGATAAATAATGTTAAGTCAACACAAGCCCAGTCAGGTTTTGCCCGAGGGAGGGACACCATTATAATCAATTCATGGACTGTGTGGGAATCAAATACAACAAATAGTTCAGATAGTTCTTTTATTCCATAGTATGAATGAAGATTTGTACATATCTCCTTTCTTTGTCAAGTTTATCATCTCCAGTTTCTGTTTGTAACATCGCCACCAAGATATATTCGCTTGATGTAAACATTGTAGAAAAGGACAAAAAATGAATGTTAACAAATGCATCTGTTCTTACCGCCACTGTGTGAGATGAGCTGGTTAATAATGACTGTTAGTTACGACCTTAGTGGATCCACCAGGCTATAAAATACACAACACAAATCTGACTACATGATTTGCTGTTCTTGACCTTTGGTTAGACTGCATAAAGGAAAGAAAAACTGCACCCTCTATGTGTATTTACATTTATAATTATTAACTTCTGCTCTAAGTAGGCTAAATCTAAATTCACACCACTTTAAAAAGGAAAGCAGAAAAATGTCAGAATTATTCATCAAAAAGAAAAAAAAATTCTGGGGGTTCAAATAATGAGTAATCAATAATGACACACTGAACATATTTAGGTTCTGTAGAATTCTCTTGGATGCAGTATAGTACTTAAACTTCTAATCAAGATGATGACACAATGATGAAATGATGAATAACAGCATATACATTTAGAGATGTCACAATACCAGAAGCCAAATACCAGTGAAATTACACAAATTTCTCAGTTCCTAATTTGATACCACAACAAAAAAGATATGAGCATTAACAATTAAAACAAAGTGAAATATGTCAAATTTTGTATTTTGCTCTATCATGCCTAAGCGATAAGTACAATGAGGTACAGCTTAAACCAATAAGGTAATTTATAGCCATACGAAGCATCATATGCCAAAATTTTAGATAAAAGTACAAAGCAATGCCAGTCATTTCAAATAAACATAAAAGCAATAAGTGTATTTGTGGATAAGAACACTAATGCTAGTTGTTAATTAAGTCCAAGGCCTCGTCCACATGTTTCCAGATATTTTTGAAAACTTTTTTTTTCACTAAACAGAACATTTTTCAAAAATATCCAGACATGTGTGGACATGACTGAGTCTGAGGAGTTACCTACTTTACTTTCAATCTGAAATGACTGATCACATTGTTTTGCACATTAATGATGCTACTCTTATCATCTCTCTCGTAAGCAAAGTATTAGGATACGTGATCTGCTGATTTTTTTCATGTGGTACCATCTCTGTAGTAGCACATTGAAACACCATTGTCACGTAGCCCTCCTCTTGCATTGGTGGGCATTACCAAGTTTTCTTCTGCATGCAGAACCAACTTTGACTTTGTACTACCAACACCATAGAAAACTAAAACAGCATTGACTTGGTCTGGTTCTTGTGACATCTCTACAATCAATGTATACTAATAACAAACCTACAGTGTAAGAAAAGATCATAAAAGGCATAATCTACAGTGGAAGTGACCATGCTGTTTGGAACAAGTCAAAGATGCTGGCACCTCTGCTGCCAGTCAGTTAAGATAACTTTTAAAAACATGGACAGTGCAAAAAAAAGAATCTGCACTCGTAAAAATAAAGGTACAACAAGGATTGTTGCCATAGAAGAACCATGATTGGTTCCCTAAAGAACCTTTCAGCAGATGGTTCTTTAAAGAATCATTTTTGTAAATGAGATAGACGAGCAGTGTTGGTGGTAGTGCTGTACAAAGTAACGGTACAGTAATGTGGTTACTTTTTCTTGAGTAACGTAATGCAGTTTGAACTCTTGTAAACACATTACAGTTACTGACTTACTAAGAATTATGTTACATGCGTTACTCATACGTCTCTAAGAGAGCAGCATTCATTTAAATCAGATATTTCCTCTATATAGATTATTTGTGCTTGTTTGTGTATGTGTGTGTGCACTATGTGCAAAAGCTGACTATGAGAGGCACAGCACACATGTGGGAAGCATCTAATTATGCTAATCTGAAACTGATGGATAAAGATCCCCATGCTGAAGATCAGAGACCCCCTATCTCAACTAAACAGTCCAAACTCATATCCATTCATAATCAGCTCTGTATGCTTTCATAAAGACTATTAAAGGCAGATGTTTTCGAACTGCTTTTACTGACTCGTTTCTGGGTTTTCAAACAGCATCAGCCAAATTATTCATTTTAATCAAGCATAACTGTCTGTGTCTTGGTCAGAGCAGAGGCGAGATAGTGACGAACCTTTTTAATGATGTTCACTGTGATTGGCTGTTTCTTTCTTAATACATTTCTAAAAAGTGCCAGTTTTTCCTTGTACTTTCCTGTTAGTACAGATGTGTATTGATGTTACGGAATAAAGCAGAAGTAATGAGTAATAAAGATTACTTTTAGTAATACGTAGTTTCATTACAGTTTAAGAGAAGTAATCAGTAATTTGTTATGGATTACTTTTCTGAGTAGCTACCCCAAGACTGTAGACATTTTCAAAGTGTTAAGAACATTCACATAATGTAAAGTTTCTATACTATTTAAAGCTATGTTCAAGAAACATTTAGGAGCCTTTATTTTTAAGAGTGCATACCCAAAACTTGGGCCTTAACTCCAGCATTAAAGTAAAAAAAAACACAAAGTAATGAATTACAGATAAACCAAGAGAGAAAGAAAGAAAAATCACAGGATGAGATGCAGAGAGTAACAGACCTCTCCATTCACATGTTTGAGTAAGTACGAAGCATCTACTGGAACTGTGCACTTGCATCAGATATTAAATAAACACAGTTCTTTCTCCATCTCACATCCATGCGAGTCCTGAACTCACAGTTTATGGCTTGAGTAATCCTGCCCACCGGAGCTAAAGGGAAAAAGAGTGCCTCTGGTGGCTGGAGGACTACAGCAGTGTTCTACAGTAACTGTGGATGTTCAGAGGTGAACATTTGCATCAGAGTGTGTTGACATCTTAAGAGACGTTAGACACAGAGGGTGCAATCAACGTAGCCAAACCAACGAAATTATATCCGATCTTTGGTTACTTTTTCCCGGAGAATCTGAATTTACATCGCTTTGAAAAGATGACATCATGCTTTACAAAGGCACTTATTTGTAATTCAAGCACAGTTGCGGTATGCATTATTGTGGGATTCTCATACCACAGAACAATACTGTGGAGACAATACTGTGTTTTTTTTTCCCCAAAATGGTCCACGGTTGCAAAAAGAAAAACCACACAGTGATTATCTAAATCAAGCCTCAGAATACTTAAATGTTTTGAAGAACAAAGCCCTCTGAGAACCCTCATAATTTTCTCATGATTGACTTCTAATACCTACAGATATGAATGGAGCCTCCAAGATCATGTAGATAACTTGGAGTTAGGATGTACCACAATGGGTTGCAAGGTATAGAGTTACACTCTTAAAAATAAAGGTCCCAAAAAATAAAATTGTTTAGAGAAATGTCATCAAAAAAAACTCTTTTAAACTTTTCAACCGAGTGGTTACAATTGACCTATCCAAGCTTTACAGAATGCTGGGGAAAATGTTCAACACTATTTTAGCGCTTCCAGTTTAAAATGCTGTGCTACAAAGCTAAACTGAAAAAGCTAGACTATGATGCTGTAGCTAATCAGAACAAGGCAGGGATGAGCATTTCTATCAAATTTGACATTCAAATTTTTAAAGCATTATTCAAAATATGAAAATATCACCCAAAAAACAAGACAGTGACCAGACACCAGAGTGACGCCACTCAACATCTTAAGGCTGTGCTACATTAAACCCAGACACTTGAACTTAACACCAAGTACGTAAGTGCGAGTCTGCTTTCACCACAGCTAACAGTGTTAGCCTAACCTTATTTTCTCCAACACTTACTGTGTGCTATAGTTGCACTTTGTACTGTCCGCTACACGCTATGGAACTTCTTGTCTGGTGGACGGTAGTCTTTAGCCTGCTTTAGTAGCCTTTCTACGCTTTCTTCTTTGGAATAAATGGCCAAGAAATCTGGGAGCAGGGTCGTGTGAAAAGCCAAGAAAAAATAACGAATTTTCAGCTACATCATCATATCTGTCTATTTCGTTTATCTTAGTTTACCCACTTCCCTCCCTCCCAAAAAAAAATCTGCTCGTCAGTGCTAGTCAGCCCTCAACGTTCACCTAAAAGAGTCGACTCTTTCACGAAAGACACTACTGTGGTGGTGTATGGAGTTCAGACATCTCATAGATGGAGACAAGCTCATCTGCATATTGAAGTTTTTTTTTTAATTTCATGGATATTTACATATTCTTTCTGTCTTAGACTGATCACATACCCCTTGGACTACCATCAATGCTCATTTAGACTTTGATATTTTAATTCTTTGAACGCTATGAAATCTCAATCTTTCTGTACAGTTTACAGCTGTCAATGTTTGCACTAGTTCCTAGGTCCTCTGTGTGTGTGTGTGTGTTTTTTTGGACTAGTTATATATGTCCATTCAGTACGAATTTAAACAATGTAAAGGGCAGCTGGTGTTCGCAAAAATTATGTAAAAGACAAAAATGAATATACAAGGTTTTGTCATGACAGCGCTGATATACAGTTTTGTTGTCCTGTCTGGTTAGTGTCACATAGTAATAGTTCTGTGTATTTATTGCCGTGTATGTTTATCATCAAGTGTATTTATTATATTCTGTACTCATTTCACACTGTTGTGCATCTGCACTACACATAGTTCTGTGACTACATGGGGCCTGAAGAATGACACTTTGTTCCAATATATACAAGTTATATTGAGCAATGACAATAAAGACCACTTGACTTGACTTGATTTTGTCCTCACTCATCCCTATTGGGAATGACAACACTGAATTTGCCACTATGCTAACTTCAGCTGAAATACACAATATTCTGTTTTAAATGAACATGCCACTCTACATTTAGGTTCTGACACTGTTGCATTGTGTGCTACCATTTTTCATCATGTTTAAAGGGACTTTTGCCAACATTCTCCAGCCTAGCAACAGTTAACATGAAAGCCTGCCTTTGGGAGTGAAGCATGGATAGGTCAACTGAGTGCTTTAAAGAATCATCCACTAAAAAGCTCTTTAGAGAACCAAACATGGTTCTTCTCTGAACAACTTTTGGCACCTTTTAAGAGTGAGCACTACAGCGTGGTCACGAGAAGAGCCCGAAAGCAGACTACAAACGTACTGAGAATATTCCAAGATTATCCTAAACCGGAGTAGAACAACACTGAGAAACTGCTAGCTCTGTTAGAGTTCAGGAAAACGGAACTGGAACTTGATCATTGTGCTCTTCATGGTCCTCGTTTGCCCACAACCTCAGAAGCCACTAGCATGTCTTCCGATTGCATATACCTTGGTTTGTGCCCATTTCCAGTCTGTCCTGGTGTACTCCCATTTCTCCACAACAGGGTGGAGTCCTGTGCAATAGACACTGCGCCCGCTAGTGGGCTCTCACGAGGAGAAGCAGAGGCCACAGCACTCCATGCAGATCTCCAGGCAGTCGGCGGACTCACAGCAGGCGTCAATGATGCCACAGTCCATATCGCAGGGCAGGTCACAGTCACCGCACTCCTCAGAGGCGCAGCAGCAGCAGAAGCACGAGTCATCCGAGGCGCATGAGCCGCAGGTGGCACAGTCCAGCACGATGTTGCACAGCGTCAGGAACTCGCAGAAAAGGCAGGCCAGGATGCAGTGCACGCAGCAGTCTGTGGCACATGTACATAGAAATAGCATGGTGTCAATGGAATTGTGAAACATAACTAAATGCATACAATTCTCTAATAGGGCCTGATTGATACACATTGTTACTAGAGGTGACCCAAACAGCTTTTCCACCTCAACGCTCACATATTTAAAGATTAGAGGATGACTTACACAAACTGTGCAGCAACAAATGAGCTACTGTCTCTGACTTTACATCTACAAGGTGGACCAACAAGTTAGCTGTGTCTAATAGAGTGGACACTGTTTAAAAGATTTGCTCCAGGCTGTTCAGATTGGTTGGATGATGCTTGTGGACCATAATTTTCAAATAGTGCCACAGATTCTTGATTGGATTGATACCTAGACTTTGACTTAGCCATTCATGTGGTGGTAGTATGAGGGAAGACTGAATGAGGGGGTAGAAGCTTCTGCCTCTAGCTAGAAGGCCAGACCCCTCCTCATAGCTGTAGTAGGACTGATGTACAACTGAGGAACAGGGCAGATGGGGTGGCGGTGGGGACTGAGAACACTTCATCACAGGAATGGAAGGTGAGGATGGGAATTTATAGGGTGTTAGATTGGTAGAAGGGGGGGTTTCAGGCATGTTCCTCCCCCAAACTTCAGTTATAACATAACTACATTAAAATATTCACCTTTTTATTGTTCAGCTACTACTGTGTTGCTTTAGTGCGTGGGATCACTGTATTGCTGAAAGGTGAAATTTCTCCCAAGCTTTAGTTTTTTAACATACTGAAGCAGGTCGCTTTGCTTTCAATCCAGTTTCAGCCAGTTTGCTTCCCTCTCAAGTCCCCTTCTTGCTCTGACGCTGAGTTAGCCTTGTCCAGGCAGTGACTGGTATGATGCACCTTCCATTTCATCACAGTTGATTCAGTAGTACTCATTGAGATTTTATTCTGTGATCTTTCCCTGTTTCTTGTGCATGTCTATAACTTTATCACATTTGAATGCTCTCTGGTCTCTTTTTCACAACATTCCTTCAGATTCACAGTTTGACCAGTGGTACTTGAATTAAGGGTTTTTTTTTATCTAGATGAGGATAGGTTTTTTAATGCTTTACAGGTTGCGGCCAGTTGTAAGCCAGATGTGTCCTTGTTAAGGCAACTGTCATCTTTTATCATCTTTTATTTGTGAACTGGGAGCTTTCACAGCACAGAGGTTGGATGCTTATGCAAATGACATTTTTCAGTCATTTTTTTCCCTGCATATTTCCTTAAACCAGTATCAAATTAATACATTTTGAGGGTCAGTCTCAAAGTAAAATGGGACACAGCAAAATATCAGTGTTTCATTTGTAATCCAGATGAACCTGATGATTTTAAAGGGGAATGAATACTTTTGCAAGGCACTGTAAGGTGTCACATGTTAAGCTGTTTCACTGCATATCCTTTCAACTCTTATGAGTGAAAATGAACTTGTATATTTAAGCTTCAAAAACACTTCTTAGCAGATTTTTGTCTCTTATACGCATAATCAAATGTGGACTCACACTGCACCTTTAATGGAATAGCTCTAAAAAATATGGTGGCCAATTTTATTGTTTATCAGATTTTTTAGTACCAGTGACAATGTTTTCTTATTGGTTGGGCCAAAATTTGAATCATCCCTCTGTATTCCCAAATTTTCTTCTTCTGACCACATTCCAAGCCTTCTCTACCATTACACCCTCTTTTTCACCTCTCTGATGGAGGCAGTACTCACCGTCCTGGGCCTCCATGGGGATTTGAGAGCTGTTAGACTTGGAGCTTCCTTTGCTCCTCTTGCTACTCTGGCTGTTGAGGGAGGGGTTTGACTGTAGCTTCTTGGGGTTCTTATGAGACGGTGACGAAGAGGAGGAGGATGAAGACGCTGCGTGCAGTAGTGGAGCTCCATTCTTGACGCCATTGCTGTGGGCCTGGTGTGTGACGGGCTTGCTGCCATTCTTCAGCAGAGCGGCAGCCTCAGAGGAGCTGGATAAAGACGGCAGCAAGGGCGTGGACCTGGCCTGAGGTTGACCTAGCAGGACCAGGGGAAGATAAATAAAACAAAGATGAACACAACTGTAGGCTAAGCTGTGTTAAATATGAGGTCTTCCACTGTGTAATTATTCTCCTCTTATAGCCCAGAGACGTGTAAAATAATACCAACAGCTGCATAGTTGTGGACCCATAAACTCGTCCAATATCTTGTTTCCTCGACACACAACGGGCCTTTCCCTCACACCGACCCCATCATTTCACAAAACATGCCCTAAAGCTTCCTGATTCCTCTTCTGGAATACCAACGAGGCCCTGTGAGTATGTTGCCCAATGTTTTGCTAACAAAACCCTGTGGTAGAGTTAAAAGAAGAGGCATCTACATGAACTTGTAGGTTGAATTAGGTCAAATTTGTTTGCTGCAGATTTCAAGAGCAAACAGGATGCGTTCTGGTGGAAAAAGCAGGCATGTTATGTACAATCTGGCATACAAACCTAAATGCCTATGTGCATGAAAAAATGCAAAATGCATTTCCTTTCCTCCTTAAAATACTAGGGATGTGCATTCCAACTAATTAGCCATAGAGAAGGGAAAAGCCAAAAAAAAAAATCAGTTATTAAATTAATTATTATTAATTTAATAAATTAATGCAAAGCTATGGCTTAACATTACCATTTTAGGTGACAGCACTGGTGCTACACAAAAATTTAGCATCATGCAGCAGAATACATTTCAAAACATTTTATTATTCATAAATAGCTGAGGGAAATCAGTAGGTGCTATAACGTAGGTGCTATTACTGTAAAATTGATGTGTCTAGGAGCAACAACAGCTTAGCCATGACCCAGGGCAGACTCACAGAGCAGACCTGCTGAGTCCTGAAGCACATAATGCATAAATAACACCCATGTTCTCTTGCATTACGCACTACAGAGTTCCAGACTACCTCTGGAAGCAACATCAGCACTAGAACTGTGCATCCAGAGTTTCATGAAATGGGCTTCCATGGCCAGAAGCTGCACACAAGCCTAAGATCACTATGTGCAATGCCAAGCGTCGGCTGGATTAGTATAAGTTAGGTTTTGCAGAGGCCAATTCCAGAATGTATAGTGCCAAAACAGTAACAGTAAAGTTTGGTGGAAGAGTGATAATGGTCTAAAATGTACTTCAACGTTTGGGCTATGTCTCTTAGTTCCACTGAAGCGATACAGCATACAAAGAATACATAGATGATTATATGCTGCCAACTCTTACACATATCTGCCTAGTCAGCCTACAGCAGTTTAGCTCCCCCCTTTCACACTGAAGTTATAAGGAGTGTTTCACCTCAGACTGCTTTTTCAATAAGGCACAATACATAGCAGCCAATCAGAACAAAGCTCTTTTACAGGTCTTAAAGGTACAATAACAAATACACTAAGTGATAAAGAGAGGATGGAAAGTGGTCGTAAGAAAAACAATTGTTTTTGGTACGTACGACCATACAAACTTTATAAGTGGACCCTATATACCAGAAAATATCAGAAAAATGTAGGATACAGGCACATTAAACACTGATGATATCGACAGTATGCTCAGTTATCCATAGTATGCTCAGCTATCCACAATATTGGCCCATTAATTATCCCCAATATGCTCAGAAATGTATACTGTGATGTAATTTAACACAGTAATGGTATTCACTCTGTGATATTATTTTTCTCAAACTAACTCTGGTTAGTTTTGAGTACAGTAGTAACTGAATAATCAACTGTTTTGACAATTTTTGTCAAAACAGTTGATTATTAACAAAATTGAGGTTTGTTAATAATCAACTGTTTTGAGGTTTGTTCTACGTCATTATTATGTTGTATATTATTTTGCATTTTTTTTGCAATTTTATTGTTATTTAGGTGGAGGCTTTATATAAGCCTATTAGGTTTTTTGCATCTCCCTGCACTGTACGTTATCTTAGTCTATTTGTGTATATTTAAATTGTGCAAAATAAATTAAACTAAAACTAAACTAAACTATTTTAATTGCATAATCAGTTTTTTAAAAATTGGCATTCAGTAAAGATGAACCTAAACAGTAACAAACCATGTATAGCCTTCCAAAGAGTCCCGAATGTTATAGAACTAATAACTAAGTGTGCCTGTCGGGCTGTTTCTTACTCTAATAGAAAAGTAGTAGTAGTACAGTAGGTGAATTTAAAGTATGCATTATCATTCTGCAATTGCCAACTAATCAACTGCCGATTCATCAAGAAGCTACATTTTAATAAATGAATTCTTTAATCTAGTAATTGATTTAATCAGCCAGTTGTGACAGCCGTAGTTTGGTTATCGAAAACTAACAAAGAAAATGTGCTCACTGTATTAAAACACTTTGGAAAGCTAGATATCTCCCAACTATCTGTATGTATTCAACCAAGAAAAGAGTTCTTTCTGGAGTGTGACCGTTACTCTGCACACAGTTCCACCTCAGCAAGACAGCGAGGTCAGCCTGTGCAAGATTTACACCAGTTCTGGGAAAGGGAACTGCAGCAGTAGGGACGGGGGTCCTGATGGGAAGAGCCCATGTGTTTGCAATATCCGCCCCATGCTAGCTAGCACGCAGTTAGCAGCACGTCTAGACTGTTACACAATGCCTTAATCCCGGCATGCCATTTCCCAGCTATACAGACTCCATTTGATCTGCTTTCTGCCAATTCGCTCCTTATATTTCTGGCCGATTGTTCTTCACTTTGCTTGCATTACTTTTTTGGTCTTCCTTCCTTAAGAGGTCTCCTTTTTCAACTACTTTTTTTGTGAGGAGCCAAAGACATTCAGCTAAAAAATAAACAAACAAACAAATAACTGAACAAACACAAATGAATAAAGCAAAGTCATGAGACATGCATGAATTAGCATATCATTACTTAAGAACCAGGCAAGCATTTCGGTAAACAATGGAACAAATAAACAAACAGGATTAAAATCACCTTCATTGCACCGTTATCCTTCGCCTGAAGAGCGCAAACACAAACAAACAAACAAGGCTCTTGCAGAATACAAATTAAGAGGAGCGCAAACAAATCAGCACAAGAAATAATTATAAAATGAGGAGGATTACAGTGGCTCAAACTTTTCAAGGGTCCACCATCGACTTGCAGGGAAAAAAAACAGCTCTCTAAGAACTTGATATGCTGACTAACAGAGAAATTCTTTGTTGTGTGCTTCAAGATCAGTCGTCTGCATTCGCACACGCACTTCAGAGCCAGCCGCAAAGGAGTGAAAAATGCTTTGTTTCAGACTAAAGCCCTAATAAAGCAAATACTCTATTAAATTCTGGGCACGGTGTGGTGGACAACTGTTTTAAATGGACCTCGCAAGCTGGAGTTAGCCATTGAAAACAAAAGATCATGTACAGCCATATATTCTATCATTTCCAAATCTAGGCAACAAAAATAATGAGAGGAGGCACATCGCTCGGATTATGAGCAGAGTGATTAAGAATGCGGTGCTTTTTTTCCACGTTCGGTGTGAGGTTGAGGCTGAATGCTCCGGTTCCCCAGTTTGCGTTCTGAAGTTCAGACACAGTCTCCCCATGAGTTTACAGCCTACAAATGTTCTAGTGTTCCTCCACAAACCGCCCGGCGAGTTGTTTTTGGCAGCTCGTTGGCAGCACTCCGTATATTTTACTCCCGAGCACCGCGAAATACTAATTATGCTGGACGAAAGAAAAACTAAGTGAAAAGCACACCTTGGGCGCCAAAAGAAACAAACTCCTCCCCCTAAAAAAGAGAGAAAAAGCAAAATAGGACTTTTTTTTCCTCTGAAACTCCTGGTGTGTTATGATAATACTTAATACCATCCCATTGCCGCGCTAAACATTTTCGTGACCTTAACACACGCGTTTTAGGTCGGATGGAAAAGGTCCTGGGAGAGTAGTGAAATTCTGGCTTCAGAGGAAGCGTTTCCGTGTGGTGCCTTCAGCGAAGTCCACACACAAACACACACCTCGCTCTGTTCTGCACCTCTAGGGCCTGAAGGTCTATGAGACAGAACTTAGGAAAAAAAAAAAGCACAGAAAAGCATACATTAGACAAAAACGTTGAAGAGACACACGGCCGGTGGAGCTGTGTTGCTCTTGGACAGCCTCCGAGGTCATGCAACAAGTAATCTAATGTGATTGAATATTTTTCATCCAGCCTTCGCAAACTTTCACTCCAGATGTTTGGCTTGTTAGAAGAAAGATGGAGAATTTTCTTCTTGCATTTATGCATGTCAAATCTCTATACCTGCTAAAAAAGAATTTGCATGAATGGCCACATCTTTCTTTTTTTTGCTTTCTTTCTTTTTTTCCATCCTAATGAAAACAATCCCTTCGGTTTGAGAGAGGATACATCAGTATGGAGTCCATATGTTCAGAGGTAGATGGACTGAGTAACAGTAATAGGCTACCACCCCCAATGTGCCCTGAACTAGCCTATAAAACTGCAGCTCTAATGTATGTGTTTGCCAGCTTTACTGTAAGCATCGGTTTTCCTCATGTTTCACAAAAGCAGGCCTCAGTTCTTGTGAGAGAACGTCAGAGAAAGAAAGAAAGAGGAGAACATCTGGAGGATGAAATCAAGTACAGAATATGGCAGTACTCAAAACTGACCTTTGATTTAAGCTCAGTCTTAAAGTCAACCTGAAATGAACTCACTTTTTTGACCTTGTTCACAGTCATATTACTCACAGTTAATCATAGCATCACTGTCTGAACAAAAACCTTGTATCTCTGAATTGGTAACTTTACAGGTGAAGGAAAAACACTGATTTATAATGGAAGTTAATGTAGCAAGACTCTATTGGTCAGTTCATTGAGAAATTGCAATGGGATAACTGGAGTTTTCAAATGCAAAAAGGTAAAAAAATTACAAAAGTGGAGAAACTTTTTGCATGACAGTGAGAATATCACTGACAACACAAACTTCTTTTTTTTCTGTTATCGTCCCTCAACATGTAGCTAACTTATGTTGTCTCTAAAATGTTTTTTATTTTTATTTTTTTTTACACTCTCAGAAAAACGTA